GCCTAGAAGCAGAAATCGGCACAGCTGCCATGCTGAAGACTGTTATAATCGAATGGGTAATTTGATGCTGTTTGACACAATGACCACTAGAGGTCTTGCACAATCTCAAAGTGGTACAGTAGGCGTTAATTATATACAGTATTCAGACCACGAATATCAATCAATAAAAGTAATGTTAAAATATGTTAACTTCCTGCAACACTGCAAACCACTGTATTTTTTGTATTGAGCCATAAGATCAATACACTTAAGGCCTGCAAAGTTAAGTGTGGCTACAATTCATTCGTACAATTGTACCATTCATTTTCTTTAAAAGTCAACATGAAATCTAAATTTGCTCTGCTTTAAATATGCTCTGCTTCTAAGAGGACTTTGACTTTATTTTCGACTGATGTCACCTGTGCAAGTTATTGGTAAATAATAGCCAAATAATCATTTAGGTATTGTGTTAGCACAGTAACTTAATGCTAGTTAACATTTTATATTATACATTTTACAGAAATAATAGCAAATACAGGTGCATCTCAATAAATTAGAATGTCGACTGAAGTAGTTTAAGTCTTTGGTTCTTTTAATTGTAATGATTTTGGCTCACATTTCACAAAAACCCACCAATTCAACTCAACTCAAAGGTTTCCTGAGCCTTCAAAATGGTCTCTCAGTTTGGTTCACTAGAAATGAGTTCTAGGAGGGTTCTGCATTCAGGACCCATTCTGGTATGGATCAACATTTTAACGTAAAATTTCTTCCGAATAAACATCCAGCATCTTTGGGAACTATACAATGGTGTGTAAAAGTCTGAGACCACTAGTGTAAATGCTTCTGCTCTGTTGAAAATGTCTCATTTAAAACAACATTTTCATTACAAATTATATTAAAGGAATATTTTACCTTAAAAATTAAAAATTGCTGAAAACGTACTCAACCTCAGGCCATCCAAGATGTAGATGTGTTTGTTTCTTCATCAACAGATTTGGAGAAATTTAGCATTACATCAGCATTACAATGGATCCTCTGCAGTGAATGGGTGCCGTCAGAATGAGAGTCCAAACAGCTGATAAAAACATCACAATAATCCACAAGTAATCCACACAACTAGTTGAGAATTAATGTCTTGACAAGCGAAATGATGCTTGTTGTAAGAAACAAATCCATCATTAAAGCATAAAAAAAGGTATTACATCAATACTCTGCTTTAATACCAGCTGTAATTAAGCTGCATGAACTCCATAAGTTTCTGTAAAATCTGATGATCATGTTCTCCAGCTTGACTTGAGTTGATCCAACAGCATCAATAAAAAGCAAGAACATCTGAATGTCTGTTACAAAGAGTTCACACATATTTATTAATCACACATTTATACATCAACATTATACATGGGTTGTGAATGCCAAATATTGATTTGACATATTTTAAAACCGAACTGCATTAATATAACCATCTGCATGTTTGTCACTTTACCTAGAGCCCCATGTACCTGGTACCAAATGCGTTCACCCACACAGCAGACAGAAGAACAGGAAGCCACGTGTGGTTTACCCCAGCTCCGCTCACAGCAGCGGATCCACTGTCAACACCTGTCTGAGTCAGGTATGGGGGTAGAATTGTTGCTTAATTCCAAATAAATAGATTATGATCCACAAATAAATAGAATGAGATCCACAAATAAATCTTAAAGTTTCACAAACATTAATTAAATTCACAAATAAATAAAATGAGATTTGCAAATAAAAAACATATTCACAAATATATATTTATGTCACAACCACAACTTTGCCTGGCATTTATTTGTGAATCGCATCCTGTGCATTTGTAGATAGCTGCTCACATTTGTGAATCGCGTCATGTGCATTTGTAGATAGCTGCTCGTATTTGTGAATCGTGTCATGTGCATTTGTAGATAGCTGCTCGCATTTGTGAATTGTGTCCTGTGCATTTGTAGATAGCTGCTCGCATTTGTGACTCGCGTCTTGTGCATTTGTAGATAGCTGCTCGTATTTGTGAATCGCGTCCTGTGCATTTGTAGATAGCTGCACGCATTTGTGAATCGCATTCTGTGCATTTGCGAATAGTGAAACATTTCTTGCGTCAAGACGTGCTGACAATCCACAAATACGTGGACTCCACCCACCGTCTACTCAAGCCAATCAGATAACAGCCACATTCGCTGACCAATCGTAGCACGATCTCGCTATAGCCAATCACGTTTTGCTTTACAATCAGGGCGGTCTCGTCCTGAGATAACTTCATGCATCTGCATTGGCTCAAATAGGTCATATAAGGGCCATACAATGGGTACAGTAAAAGATGTTTAAAACTGGATTTCGTTAGACCATTAGACTGTGTATCATGCCAAGCCACAGTATTTTATGTTACGTACATGACGCGATTTCCAAATGCGAGCAGCTATCTACAAATGCACAGGACGCGATTCACAAATGCGTGCAGCTATCTACAAATGCACAGGACGCGATTCACAAATGTGAGCAGCTATCTACAAATGCACAGGACGCGATTCACAAATAAATGCCAGGCAAAGTTGTGGTTGTGACATATATTTTTTTTTTTGAATATGTTTTTTATTTGCAAATCTCATTTTATTTATTTGTGAATTTAATTCATGTTTGTGAAACTTTAAGATTTATTTGTGGATCTCATTCTATTTATTTGTGGATCATAATCTATTTATTTGGAATTAAGCAACAATTCTACCCCCATAGTCAGGGCAGTCTGATAGAAAGCATCAATGAGCTCATTGAAGAAGAGTCTGATGAAGATTCTAAAAGCAGCACAATCAGTTAAACCACTGACATCACTTCAGCTGTTGCTCTGAATGAAACATCATATCACTTTTGATGTAATTTCAAATAATACACTCAAAGTAACCAATGTATTAAGGCGTAGGCAGCCTGAATGAAATATGTAATGCACTGCAGGCTATATAAACACAGTGCAACACACACCAAACACAGAATGCAGATAAGGAATGATTAACCCTTGAATTATGGATCAATTAATACGCATCCTGAGGTACTACTGCTGCAGTGTGTGTATGCAAGAGTGAGCATTTGTGGTTCTCAGTGATGCAGACAATTTACTGAAGTGATATGAAACTATAATCCTAGCAACAAACCAGGAAATACTTGGAAATAGTTGGAATGACTGTCAACCAATCAGAGTCTTGAGCATTCAGCAGCACTGTGATATCATGTTAATTACAGAGCTGATGTGAACAGACAAGTCCAGATTTTGTTTTTAATGTCACTCATATCCTACGTTCGGTACGTCCTTTCCTTATTCTTTGAATTGCATTATACTGTTGTTTAGTACATTTATTTGCATATTTCAATTAGTATGTTGCCCTAATGATCACTTTTGTGTTATTGTTAACTTCTCATCAATGGATTCATGAAGCCACACAAGAATAGTCATCTGTAACACTTTTGAATAAAGTTACATTTGTTGACATAATTAACATTATTTACTAGAAACTAACAAACAATACTTCTAAAGCATATTTTTAACTAATATTTACTTAAATCTTAGTTAAGATTAATCTAAGCATTTATAGATGTTTAAATTCGAAAGTTGTTTTTTTCAACTTTCAAAATGTACTAGTTGTTTTTCCTATGTTCAGATTTCTCTATAATCCTCCGTTTTGTCAGAGATTACACTTCACACAACTAACAAATACAGGCACTTAAGAAGAAAAAGCAGACAGCTCCTGATGAATAAAACAGATCTGCTGTTATGTCACTCTTGCATAACAACTGTCAAACACACATAAGAGTTGCATGGCGAACTCTAATACGTCCCGAATGAAGATTTCAGGAACATCTGCAGGGGGAAATTACGGCCAAAGACAAACAATGTGTTAAACCTACTATTAATGTGTCAAAATAAAAATGATCTGGAATAAACGTGGATGATTTATGAGCAATTTGTCATAATTTTGCATAATGTTGTCTTTGTGTAACTGCATTGATGAATAATCATACCAGATGTTTAGAGAACTTTTTTTATGTATAGTGAACTGTACAATGCATGAAACAGGACACCCAGCTACACCCAGCACTTATACAACTATTACAAAACCCTAAACAAACGATATCAGACAGCACCAGTGCTGTACAGGAGACAAAGAGCTAAACCTTTGAAGATATCCTGAATTGAACATAAAGAACTATTTGGGCATTAAATAAAAAAAACACAATTCTGGGTGTCAAAGTATTTTGCTTCACCCATAAGACAAATAAGTTTTATGTTCAAATTAAATGTATTTTTAAATTTTTATTTACTTTGAAATTTTAAAATGTTAAGCAAATTTGACATTTAGCCTACTTAAACATCTGGATGACTGTCACATTCACTACTGCACACCATGAACAGAGCTGTGGTCAGTCTGTGGTCAAAGGTTCTGTTTGCTTATTTTACATCAGAGCTTTGATATGTCATTGACAGATTGACCATATTGATCGAATGTCATACACGAAGATTCAGTTTAGTTTTGAATGAAATCCAGAAGTTATTGTGTAACAACCTCATGAGAACCCTTAAAAGCCCTTAAAAGCCAACTTTGCCAGTACATAATCACAAACAAGGCATTGCATAAAAATGAAAGCAATGCTGAGCTGTAATTAATGCTGTGCATATGAAAGTATGTCTGTCAATATACTGTACACTCTTAAAAATAATGTTTCTTTATAGGCATTCATGAAAACCCTTTAACAGTCATGAAACCTTTTCATTCCACAAAAGGTTTTTTATAGTAAAAAAAAACGTTTTTTAGACCATTTTTAGAACAACAACAAAAAACCTTTAGGAATCATTGTTTTAAGATTGTATGGATAGACATGGCTATTTGACAATCAAATAATCCAAAAAAAAAAAGATGAAATACTGTCCCTGCTGGATAAGACAAACTCTTACTTAACATGCTTACATGACTGCAGGGTTGGGGCGTGTCTTGAAGGAGGGAACAGATTTCATAACATTGCATGTATAAATAACAGCTTGCAGGCGAACGTGAGCATACTTCCTCTCTGCACAGCTTCAAGCTACAACATGTAAGTACTGAAGCTTTTACTCTCTTACACTGCTGTACAGTATAAACCACATTAGCACCATAAAAAGGACTTCAAACATGTTACTGCTAGAGTTCCCTAAAAGTAACCTAATTTTCTCTGTTTTTAATGTTTTAAAGGATTTGTCTGACAGGATTGATCTTGCTGCTCTTTGCAGTGGCAGTGGATGGAAGAGTTGGGTGAGATTCATTTTTTACTTCCCTTGCAGCTGTAGAATAGCCACACCACACAGATTATATGTGCATTGTTGTGTATAGGTCAAGTTTAATGTATTGTGTTTGCATCTCTCAGGAACTCCACTAGTGAATCCAGTTACTGCACAGAGACAAAAGAGTGCTTTCTGTTTGACTTGGTTTGTGCAGGAGATGGTTATGAGGTGAGATAACAAGATAGCACAAACATGAAAGAGTAAAGAGATCACAAAAAATGTAAAAGACAAGCTCAAACAGATCGTGGTAATGAGATGAAGTGCTCTATTCCTAACAGGTACGCCACTATGATGCTGCTAAGTGGGTGACCACAGAAGCTGAATCCTATTTCATGGAAATTGCAACTTCAAGAGCGTTCAGGAAACTTTATAAATACATCACCGGAGAAAATGAGGCTGGTGAGTTTGTTTGGGGGTCAAATGTTTTGGGGGTCAGACATTGTGGAGGACCAAATGTCCTTCAGGACATTAAAACCTGTAAGGGACTTTTAAAAAATTTTAAATTTCCTCATTATTTACTCATCCTCATGCGTCCCAGATGTATAACTTTCTTTCTTCAGATGAACATAAATAAAGATATATAGGAAAATAACCCATATCTGTGAGTCCAAATTTTGCAACATGCTGTAAATGTGCTAGAAAAATGTGCATTAAATTGTAAAGCTATCCAGTGTCCAGTAATGAATTGAAATAGCATGACAAATACCAGTTTGCAATATCAAGCAGCATAACGGACTGTTTTGTGAAGCTAATGAAGGAAGCCTCGCATATTCAAGTTACAAACAGCCGCATCTGCTCTTATAATGCTTTGTACAGGACCTCTAAAGCTTCAAAAACCACTCAAAGTGAACACAACAGGAATACGACCCCAGCTGATGAAATAATGTCTTCTGTAGCAAAACGACTGGTATGTGTAAGAAAAAAAACTTCAAAATAGGCGGACTTACAGAGATGGGTTATTATTATTATTATTAAAAATCTTTGTTTGTGTTCATCTGACGATTATGCATTCAGTATTTATTTGTTTTTGCTGACGTTCTACTCTTTCGATTGAAAACACATGTTGTTAAAGGCTGCACTGCCGTCTATCGACATGTGGAGTTTTTTGTAAACTGCACTAATACGTTTGAGTTTTTTAGTTTAGTTTAGAGAACGGTCTACAACATAATTAATTGCCTCATCTGTCCAACAAAAAAAGAAAGGATTCTCTCCATCATCTTACTACCTGTGTGCCACACTGATGTTTATACTCGTTTTTTGTCAGTCTTTCTTCTGGCTTCGAACCTCCTTGGTTCTTCAGCTGTAACTTACAGGTAGGCCTACTGATCGTTGTTTCAGTAATTAGCATTTCAATGTCTAATTTTCACTCTTCGCATCACCAGACAACACAATGCTATTAATATAAGTACAGTCTTCATCTCATGCGAGTGTACACCATTCAGATGACTCTTTATTTCTTAATATGTTTCAATTAGCAACAAACTGCTAATGCACTTTCAATTAAAACAGAGCAATGAAGAAAATATTTAACGAGGTTCCCACAAAAAAAGAAAAACCATCAAATTTATCCTTATAGTCAAATTCTAACCCTTATTTTCCAGGTGCAAAGATTGACATGACTGCACCAGTCCTCATTAAAGTCAATGATTCTGCGAGCATGTGGCAGTCATCAGTCTATGGTCTCAGCTTCCTCCTGCCCTCCAAATACCAGGCCAATCCACCCGAACCTACTGATCCATCTGTGAGTCTCATTGATATTTTCTGTGATTTCTATTTAACTGAAAGTTGTTGTTTTTTTAACTTGTTCCTGCACTTTATTTGTAGGTGTACTTAACAGACACTCCGGATATGAAAGTATATGTCAAGAGCTACGGGGGCTGGATGATGTCACTTGTGGCCAAATCACAGGCTGACAGTCTGAAGACATCGCTGGACAATGTACAAGCTACTTATGAGACAGAGTACCACTATAACGTCGGCTATAACAGGTGCACTTAGTTTACCTCCTTTCTGCCAGTAACGTTCTCTAATTTCAGTAATTCTTATGTTTATTGTATTGTGTATGTGTGTTTTTCAGCCCAATGAAGATTATGAACAGACACAATGAGGCATGGTTTATTGTTAAGGGTGAGCCTGTGTGTCCTAGGAGTGGATAATTTCTTTGAGCTTCCTCTCTAACAAGTCTTTTAAAGGTAAATGATTCATTTAAATAAGAAAATGAATTATTTTTATAATTAATAATAGGATTACTACAGTGGGGAAAAAAAGTATTTAGTCAGCCACCAGTTGTGCAAGTTCTCCCACTTAAAAAGATGAGAGAGGCCTGTAATTTTCATCATAGGTATACCTCAACTATGAGTAATGTCTAACTAGACATTTATTTATCATTTCTTTTTCAGAGCCACAGTACGCAGAGCTGCATTACTCCTGTAGTCATAGCATGCTAAACTGCCTTACATGTTTTATTACATTATACCATTAGCACATATAGTGTAAAAGGGCTGGGTTTGGTTTAGTAGACAACATAAAAAAAATAGGGCATTTGTCGAAGAAATGTCAAACTCCAAGGGATGATATCTGGTCTGTTAACATTTGTTTTAAAAAAGAAAATAAAAACATCATTGTAATGATCTTGTGTTTTATTGGGATTTTTCTTTACAACTTATGGGTCATATGTTTAATTTACAGTTATGTTTATATTAATATATAACCTGCTGGTTGGAAACTGGCCACTGGCTAAATTTAAATTTGACAGACTAGATGTGATGGATGCAGCTAATGTCCAATGGTAAAAGGTTTATTTGCACAGAAGCCAGCGAACACTTGTGGTTGCACCACCTTATGGCCAATTTTCACAAAATGTAGTAGATACTATATGAATTCTTCAACCGTTCACAATTGAAACTACTGACTCGTGAATTATTGACTTGTGAAATATTGAAGTCTTTTATTACTAAGACGTGGGATATAGAGTGACAACTGAAATTTATATCAGTTAATTTGCATTACAAACTATTTCCTCTTACTTTTTGGCCATGTACAGAAAAAAATGTGCACCTAATTGCAAATTGCAATTGCCTCTACATAAAATGTACGTGTTTTTTCCTCCTGTGTGCCCCACTTTCTCACTGCTCACTGCATAATACCATAAAGGCCATAAAAAACCTGATGTACCAAATCTGATACAAAACATAAAACACATATGCAAACTTATTACAAACTTATGCGCATTAATATGCAGAGACAACTGTAATTAGATTATTCATGTTTATTTTCTCAAATATCAAAAAAAGTGCTGAACTGATTCAGTTGATCTGATCTGACATAACCCAAATGTCAACAGAGTAAAATTGTGCATTACAGTGCCACCTACAGTGTCACGTAAACATGCTCGAGTTGTGGGTGGGATTTGGAATCATTCTTCCAGGCTCGGTATCTACGCTTCACTACTTTCCAGACAGAAAAAAAAGATGCCCAAGGAGCTTGCTTGATACTTAGTGAACAAAGTTTCTCCATATTTTCCAATTCTGAATATGTCATTTTTTCTCAACTATTTAAGAAAACTGATTCCACATTTCACAGATCATACATTTTTCAGTATAGACAGTGAAATAGCTACATAGTCAATCATCATCAACCAGCTATTTGTAAAAGAATGGCCTTTGCTGTTGCACATTTTCATTTCATTAACAGTCAAGACAATACCTCATTTAATTTGACAGAATTTGTCTTTTTTCATTACTCAGGTTAATCTATCACCCTTGAACTGTTTTATGGCTTTAGACATCAGACCCCACATCACTGTACTTACCTGCTCCCTTCATCATAACTAGACTCCTTGTTTTGTAATTGATTCCAAAGGTGCTGGAACCTCACTTATTGATAAAAGATAGCAAAACACAGTATATTACGTGTTGATGCACTAGAGTAATCGGATTTAAATGTATAGAAATATGGAAGAACAGAAATAGGGAAGAGGACTGTACTGAAAGTTCTATGATCTGCTCCTTGGAGTTTACCAAACACTTGATAAATCACATGGCTGTAGTTGGATTGGTTTGATAAACACAAATTATAAAAGCCTCATTTGGTAGTTTCATGAATGGATACACATTAGTATTTCAGCATTATATCTTTTTGTGTTTATTTTCTTATGGTGAGTGCGTCCCTCCATATATGCTGCTCCTGCAATGCACCTTGCATGAATGAGATCTTGCTTGTTGGGAAGGTGTGACAGACTCAGGTTTATTACCCTCAGTATTGAGCAAAGTCCAACTGAGGGCCTTTACACCATCTCTGAGATAGCCTGTGTCTGTGCCTGTTTTCCTCTCTGTCCTGCTCCGAGTCCTGGAGGCCTGTACAGTTATGAATGACAGCTTACAGTGACCCATGTCACCCCTTTCCTATGGACCATGAACATCTCAAACTATCCCCTGGATCACCCTCAGCCCACGGCCCTCCACTCAGCCGATTACTCACAGGACCTTGCGTCACAAGAGAGAGCGTCAACATGTAAGTAGAACTTCAGATCGGAGAGATTTTAATGGCTTTAGCAATAGCATTAATTGCTAATGTAATACATTTGAGCATAGTAAACATTTGAAGTCAATGACTAATTCAGTTTCCATTAGAAATAAGATTGTTGCGATATTCAGAAAATCTTGTCATATGATTTGTTTGTGCTGAACAGTTCAGTCATGTTTAGTACGCATACTGAAGACGTGAATCAAAAAGATTTAGGATTTCATTCAATTGACATTTGCTTCAGCAGATTTAAAAAACATTCAGAAGTCATTTTATTTATATTTTGCCTGCTGCTGAAAATATCAAACTGTAAGGATTATGTAAGCCCTGTATCTCAGTGTTTAATCAATCGAGTGATAAGAGACTAAGCCTATTTGAGATATAATAGACTGCTCCGCCGATTTATTAGATAGACTGGTCATAAAACTGTTCAACCTTACAGCCCACTCTTAGACAATCATCTTACAGTAGGCTTCTTGATGTTCATTTGCTGTTTCCTGAAGGTGACAAGTAAGAGTTATTTTAAGAAAGAAAGTGGACATTTACAATGAATGTGATGTCCCATAGCTCAGGAGTTAAAACCAGACCCAGACGGTAGGGCAACTCAAGAAGAGGGCTGTCCTGTGTGTGGTGACAGGGTGTCAGGATATCACTATGGGCTACTCACATGTGAGAGCTGTAAGGTAAGTGTTCCATTAGTCAGGAAGTAACAAGTACACAGTAGTAGCTTTAATTTAAAAAAAAATATATATATATTCTTTCATTTATATAATTATTCTTAAATACTAAAAACAAATATTCTCACCAGGGCTTTTTTAAGCGCTCTGTACAGAATAACAAGCGCTATACGTGTGCAGATGCACAGTGCTGCCCCATGGACCCAGCCCAGAGGAAACGATGTCCTTACTGCCGCTTTCAGAAATGTTTAGCTGTTGGCATGAAGAAAGAAGGTATGCATGCAAACCCAAACAAAGATTCCATCGTTTGGTCCATAAGTTTGGTAGATATTTTTTCAGTTCTTTAAAATAACACTTTGTGTAAGGAAAAATGCAGTTATTGTCTCTGAGATATGGAAAGATATTCACAATTAGCCATCCAAGATAGCGCTGGTCCTGTTCCCACTTATCTTTGAAACCATAAACCATTGCAATAGCAATCTTTGATGACCCAGTATGGGGAAAAATGCAATGTGCAGACAAACAACAACAACAAAAAAAAAGTTAAATTACGCAACTTTAATAGAGCAATGCTTCTCAAACCTGTCCTGGAGACCCCCGCACCACCCCGCACATTTTGGATGTCTACCTTACCGTATCCATCCACTCCTGGTCTTGGAGTCTCTACTAAAGATGTGATGAACTGAAAGCATGTTTGATTAGGAAGAGTTCGAAAATGTTTAATGTTGGTGTGCCTCCAGGAACTGGTTTGAGAAACAATCATTTAGAACTGTGAGGATTTATCATGCTCTTTTGAACATCACAGTGTGTGATTTAGTTAATTGTAAAATTACTTGTCACAGCTGTACGTGCGGACAGAATGAGGGGTGGGCGAAACAAGTTTGGACCTCTGTACCGACGGGACAGGCAACTGAAACAGCACAGAGGGACCTATCACCAGACGAATACTGCCCCCTACAGGGTAAAAATTGAGGGACCACAAGCACTGGTACCTGCTGTGCCTCACGATTTTCACGTTCTCAACCCGTCCCCTGCTTCTCTTGGCTCTGACCATTACCATCCACCTCAGCCCTTTCATCCCAGTATGAGCCAGTCGGAGTTTCCCATGCTGTTGGACTGCACCATGCACAGAGATCGAACTCTGTCTGATCCATCCATACCTTTCCACACACTGTGCTATCCAGGCTTTCACGGATACCCTCCCGAGAAAAGAGAGCTCCCCTTTAGCTACAGCCCTGCTTCTGTGACACCCCCTGCTCCAATCTCTCCTACTGCTCTCTCCACACCTGCACCTACACTCACGCCAACCTCAACTCCAAGTTCCACCCCAACTCCAGCACAGAACTTGACACCCAGTTCAACCCCAACCCCTAGTTCATGCTTCCTAAATGAGCTCCTACAAGCTGAGCCAGATGAGAAGCAGCTTTGCACGCGGGTGTTAGCAAGCCTCCAAAGAGAACAGGCCTGCCGAGGAAAACATGACCGCCTCAACACCTTCAGCATCATGTGCAAAATGGCTGACCAGACTTTGTTTGGACTGGTGGAGTGGGCAAGAAACAGCACACTGTTTAAGGAGCTTAAGGTAGAAGAGTTTGCACATGATCGCATATACATTGGATACATTGTGTTATGTGTTAGTGTAATCTTCAGGATCACTGCTGAAAAGACCAGTATGAATGTGTCTGCTGCTCTGAGCTGGTCACCATGATTTATCCATGCAGTTTCTAGATCACAATATTTTGTTGGTCATACAACATCATTGCTTCCCAAAGAAACAAACCCTACCCCTAACCCAAAAAACAGGGGTATCCGAACTCCTGGCGGGCCACTGTCCTGCAGAGGTTAGCTCCACCTTTCCTCAACACACCTGCCTGGAAGTTTCTAGTATGCCTTGTAAGACCTTGATTAGCTGGTTCAGGTGTGTTTAATTGGGTTTGGAGCTAAACTCTGTAGGACAGCAGCCCTCCAGGACCGAGTTTGGACACCCCTGCCCAAAACTAACCATACCATAACCCCTGTAAAATCACAAGAAAATTGTTGGTTGATAAGAATGGTGTACGTCTCTAACACTAACCCTAACTCTACCGCTTTGCATATGCCTAAAATTTGATTAATTGTTTGGAATGTTGATCCAGAGACTTGTCCTACTTGACAAAATCTTGGTTACTGTACCAACCTGGTTTAAGATGGTTAGTGCTGGTCAGATGCTGGTCTAAGTAGTGGAGCACCATGGCCACACTGTCAACTAGCAAAACTAGCTGGTGAAAGCTGCCGAGTAGTATTGTCTTCCTGGTTGAACAAGGAATCTCGCTGTTTTAGAAGCCTGGTGGAGACACCAGCATCCCATGCTTAGGCCTAGGGTCCAGAACAACATACATGCTTGTATTATGAGCAGGGATGGGGTTAACATTT